TAAATTTGCAAAAGTAAAAATAATGACAAGTAGAAAATGTTAATTTCCAAGTGCTTTCACACATCTGATGTATGAAGAAAAACACACTTTACTACAGCTAATTCAAATATGGAGAAACAATACCATGGTGCTATAACGGAGCAAGATGTCCAGGAGGCTATTATTATGTATTCTGATAGGTTATGTAACCAGCCTATGGTAACAAAGCTTTGCAAGAAGAGACAGAAAAGGAATCCATATCTTTCTAGCTCCTATAGAAATGAAGTTGGTGCTTGATTTTTCCTAGGGAAGCAAAATAATTTACATCACACTGGATGTGGGAAACAGCCTCCACCCTTCCTTCCAAAAAAATTAAAAAAAAGAGTCAATGTAACTTTCAACAGTGGCTTGTCCTTGAAATAGAGTAAGTAGCAGCAGGGAGGAAGAGAAAGCAGGTCTAATTTGAGAACTGATTTTACGGGTGAATAACTTTTCAGTGTGAAATCTTACTTAAACACTATTCAGTCTACATAACTGTTGATATAACCAGTTTAGCTTTACCAGGTATAGAAGAGGGAAAGAACAATTGAACCCAAGGGAATGGTGTGTGAAAAGGTACAGAGGTAGGACAGAATAAAGTCTATTATGGGAAGAGAAAAGGATGCTCTGTCGCTGAAGCAGAGGGTGGATGATTTTGGGGAGAAAGGCTGGGATGAGGCTGAAAAGCTGGTGGGGTTGTCTCGTGGTGACCCTTGAAAGCCATTTAGACAATTTTGAATTTCACTTATAAAAACTCATTTATCAAAAAATATGCCAAAGAAGTTTTAAGCCTTGTAGAAATTATATTGTTTTTAGTTCTTATTGCAGTGCTATGAGTTTCAATTAATTTTGGTCTTAGTCATTAACACAATTAATGTTTTTGTTGCCTAATTGTTCACATGTGATTTAAAAAAAGTTTACTTTGACTGTCACTGTGGGAAGAATCAACTGGTGGTTAGGTTGAGCAGCTCAAAGCAGTTGAAGGAAAGGGTGAATTTTATCTCAGACAAGCAGAGTGTGTTCTTCATCTAAGTGACGTCTGCGGATTAGCACCTATACCTTTCGACGTGCACAGAAAGTGTTGTTTATGGTCAACAAGGTACAAGGACTATTTAGGGTAGGTTATTGCCCAGAGAGAAATTAGCTAAAATGAACAAGGCCAGAGAAGGGCACTAGCTTTGCTGATTGTCAATCACACTGTTCTACACTGTGATAAGTCCTTCGCATATATTATCTATTTAAGCCTCACAAGAACCCTGTAAGGTAGGCATTATTCTCTCCATTCCACAAATGAGGTATTTGAAGCCAAAGAAAAATTTAGGCAAATGGCTACCTAGAATATATCTGAAATGTCAAAACAGAACAGAACAAAACAAAATTCCACTTGTTAATTCTACAAGCAAATACCATCATTAAGTTATTTAAAACTAGACTTGAAAAACTAAATTTGATCCTAGGATAGGCATCATAAAGTTTAGATTAATGGTTTTTCCTTCTATTTAAGATGTTATTGCTGTATTTTAAAAATTCGTATTTGGAAGAAAATTATTTGAATTTATGAACTTGGATGGTCAGATCTCATTGCATAGATTGGGGGAGGGGGGATCTTCGTCTTTGGATTCATTCTCTCACTCCCAAATAAAATGACTATCTCAGATGGATACATTTCAGTGAGTGACACCATTTGGGACAAGGCCTCAGGCTGTTCCCCTACAATTTTGCCATGGCCAGGAGCCATATTTTAAGATCCCATCCAAATGGCCCAAGTGTCAGTGGTGACAAACTCAAGATCTGGGCCTATCATGTTCCTATAGAATATGGTTAATTAGGATTCCTGATAAAGTTTTTGGGAAAAAAGTTATCACAGAGGAAAGTAAAAGTTATGCTGCTCATGACAGTTACTTAATAGATTAAATTTGTAAATTTTATTAGTCATTTATTTCCACTTTTCTATTTCAGAACTTGTTCTATGAAAATAAAAATGTATTAGAAAATGAAAACCTTATAGTATTTAAAATATTTAACCAAAATTACACAATTACTTCAAATTCTAATTTATGCTTTGATTTCAGAGGTGAATAAGGAGGCATTTTCTAGCTCCTTTTTGTGCTGTACTAGAAACACTAAATAATATCAACTGGCAGAAAACTAGAGTTATATGACCTGGTACTTTGCAAAATAAAATGCCAAATCATAAGTAAAACTATATTAAATGTTATCACCTTAGATCTTCCAAGTTTATAATTTTTACATATAACCTAGTCGGAAACTTCCAAATTTAAATTTGCCCTCATCACAATACATTTAAATTAAATTTTCTCCTTGATTTTTCTGTTTTCTCTGTGCTCGAGTGTGTGTTTTTTGGGAAGAAAAATCCTACAAATTGCCCAATACATCAACTTTCCAATAATGGTAATGGGAGAAATGCTGTAAATATTCGAAGAAACAATGCGTAGTTAATCGTTCCTAACTCTTGTTCTGACGTTATTTATCTCAGTGTATACCTAAAAAAAAAATTCTTTTTAAGCCAACTCCAAAAATCTCAAGGTTTTGGATACAATTTAGCAGGATCTCTTTGTTCTGTTGATAGAAAATTTTGAAATTTATAGACAAACATGCTGGAGTAAACCAGTTAATGATGCAACAGTTAATTTGAGGTTTCTGAAAAACATACTATGGTCTAAAATTACATGATTTGATATAAATTGTCTTGAAATTCTGATTTGTTTTGTAAGAAAGTACAGTAAAAAAATCATCATTTTCGAAGCAACACAACTAAAGATGTTAAATAGTTCCCATTGCAAATTCTACCCAGTTTTTCTTTGAAATTGTGCACTGTAGTGCAATTATTTAATTAATGACAAATAGCTCTTCCCCACATCCTTTTTATTTACTCCTTATATACATAAACAGAAGGAGCCCTGGTGGCACAGTGGTTAAGAACTGGGCTGCTAACCAAAAGGTCTGTGCTTGAACCCAACAGCCACTCTTCAGGAGAAAGATGTGACAGTCTGCTTCCATAAAGATTACAGCTTTGGAAACCCTATAGGGCAGTTCTACTCTTTCCTATAGGATCACTATGAGTTGGAATCGACTTGATAGCAACGGGTTTGGTTTTCTTTTTTATGCATAACAGTAGCAATATGATGAATTCCTGGATTGTTGACCTTGCTTAGTATAAAGATTTTATTAAAGGCTTTATCTGTGTTACTCCTGTATAAAATAACATGAAATTTAGTTTCTAATCTTCTAACCACATATACCAGAAAAAGAGAGGCTGTAACAATTGAATGGATTGGGACAAGATCATGGTTTACTCACACAAATAGTAAAACACTTAATAAAAAAAAATAAAATACCTCCATTAACCACAGAGGGCAGCACCATACTGTGACAGCAAAATACAAAATGGACCTTAAGCATCCTGGCTCTATTATAGATTTCTTGATCAAACAGGGACATAGGTGAACTTAAAGTTTGAAGGCATATGTTTTGCTGTGTTTTCACTTGCATTTTCCAAACGGTCTCAGTTCTTGATTCCACACTGCTATTGTGTGGATCAAATAATCCCTGGTCACAAAAATACCCAGCGAGTGACTGCCCCGGCGTCCAGGTTATGAGTGTGGTCAGTCATTCCACATGCCTTAGGGATGAGTTATCTTTGCCACGATGAGAGATTTCCTTTTCAAGTTTTGTAGCCCCAAATACAAAATACTATCACCAATAAAAGTAAAAGCAATGAAGGAAATGTATATTTCAACCTTGTTCAAGACAGTACTGAAAACAGCTTTATCTTTTCTTGCTGCCCGCTTAAAAAAAGGAAAAAAATTATTACTAAGTACAGAGGAAATCTTACAATATACTTCTAGAATTGTAAATATCCGCTACCCTAATGTTCTCAATGTGAACCACAACAGGCGTTTAAAAATATATCTGCCATGTGTACACTTGATATGACAGTTCTAGTCTCTTTCTTCGTGGTTCCATAGTATTATAAAACAACTTGGGAGGGGGAGCGAAAGAATTCCGAACACATTTTCCTCTTCCTTCCAACCTCTTATTATGTTTTGCAGAGTTAGATCATACGTTTTAAACAATATGACTCAGTTTACGTTCGTGGTCTTCCAAAACTCCAGAATATTCTCGACTTTATGTGAGCAGAGATACAGTTTACGGAGTATGGATAAATTAGTCCCACGCTCCTGCTCTGCGTCAAACAGGGATCCAGTCCTCTCCCTGATTCCCGGCGCTCTCTGACATGCAGCCCTCGCCATCCGGGAGACCAAAGGAACCGCTAGGTTTGGAAATGCCGCCTGGTGCGGTTCCAGGACACTTGGCACGGAATTAGAATACCTGCACTCGCCACCCTTTCTTCCCACCCTTTGCTCCTAGTATTTTACAAGTTGCCTGCAATAGGGTTAAACACACATCAGGCAAACAAACGTGTTCTTTCGAGCCACCGTAATTGGATCGCTGGAGCGAAACAAACTCGCAGAAGCGTTCAGAGACCGTAGCCAGAGCGCCAGTCTCCGCTGAAAGCAACTTCTAAGCGTAACTGCAAGCGCCACCAGGGTGCAGATTTTAGTTGGTGGCTAAGCACAACTACGACACTCCATCCCCCGAAAAAAAATGCATGGAGGAGAGAGCAAGGATAAGGCGAAAGCCGCCTGCATTTCTGCACCTCGGCGCCCATAAGAAAGCTCTGCAGCTTTCGGAGATGGGATGGAAAGGCCAGGAGCCACCGTTCCAGCGAGAGGGGGGGACGAGGGAGGGCCCCTCCGCCCACCTCCACCCCCAGCTCTGCGCCCTGACAGCTGTCCAGCTTTTGGAATTCATTGGCTTCCCCCACCTCGCCTCCCAAATACCACCGCAATCCCGTTTAGCCCCCCGCCCCACCCTCGCTGACCTAATAAGGCCATGCAGTCTGCGGGGGGGGGGAGACCTATATAAAAGGCGCGGGCTCGCGCGGACTCTGAACCACGCTGCGCGGAGAAGGCAGGAGCCGTCCAGCATCAACAAGGACAACCATGGCCAAGGAGTGGGGCTACGCCAGCCACAATGGTGAGTACAGACAGCTGCAACCTGGGTCCCGGACAGGGGCCAGGGAAGCGCCTCAGCATCGCACAGACTGGGCAACTCCACGGAGTAAAGTGGAAAGCATAGGCGTAGGAATGGATGGAAACTAATGTATACTTGCAAGTTCCAAGCGATGCAGGCCCTTTTACCTTCATCTCACTTAGTTCTCTCTACTGTTATTATTTCCAGTGAAGGAAACTCAAGCCCAGAGAGGTTCGGTAACTTGCCCAAGATCACATTGCCTCTGACTGGGGAGTCAGACAACCTGATTTCCAGTTCCGATGGTCACTCAGTAGTCTCTGTGACAACTGGACAAGGCACTTACCCTTTATGAGCCTGGAGTTGGTATAAGAATTCCTGCCTACCTAAGGCTTCTGCCTATCTATGAGATAAGGAGTATGAGTGAGCTCTGAAAACCACAAAGTGATGCAAAAATGTATGTAGTCAGTTATTTTATTCCAGCCTTATGATAGTGGCATTGGTTAAAAAAAAAAAAAAAAAGTGATGCAGTGCATTTCAAAAATAAGCGTTTGAGACTATATTCTTGAGCTAGACAGAGAGAATACACCAAGGTAAATGTAGTCTCTAGGTAGACTACTAACACAACTATGAACGGGTCTTAACAGCTAAGCCTGTGTTGTCCACTCTGAAACCAAAGACAATTTTGCAATCACTTTCTAGCCTCTGTGTATTTTGTTGGTTCAGTCCATTAGAAAGAGGCGATGGGCCACAAAATAAATAAATCCCCTCAACTTTATTTCCTAGGTCCTGACCACTGGCCTGAACTTTACCCATTTGCCAAGGGAGACAAGCAGTCACCCATTGAGCTGCATACCAAAGACATCAACCATGACCCTTCTCTGGGTCCCTGGACAGCATCTTATGACCCTGGCTCTGCCAAGACCATTCTGAACAATGGGAAGACCTGCAGGGTCGTGTTTGACGATGTTTATGATAGGTCAAGTAAGTATAACACTTAGGTAGAGTTACATGGACAGGTCCAATGTACATATTGGAAAAATGTGATTTATGACAGTAATAGGGGGCAATTTATTTCTGAAATGGATATGACATTTAACTTTGCTTTAGTTGTGAATTATATTTATATACTGAAAAGAATGTCTCATCTTCCAACCTCGGGCAATTTGCTGCTGCAAAATGGCCCCATGCCCACGGAAAAAGTTGGCAGTGCATTCCTGAAAGGGAACATGGGTGGGGCAGTGATGGCAATGAATCCAAATGAGTATTCTTCAGGCTCTGATGACCTCCTGCTGAGGGTTCTTGTGCTTCTTTCCACGGTCTGGAGAGCGAAGCATCCACTCTCAAGAATAGCAGAAACCATTTTACAAAGCAAGGAACATAGCAAAGAAACAAAGTAGGCACTTTCCTCCCCTAACCTGGGAGGGTGCCAGTCCAGAGGAGATAATACGGCCATTGTTTGAGTCAAGATGAATTCCATGTTTCGACCACATTTCTTTCAAATATAGCAGGATTCACCTTATTAATCCTGTTGATAAGTATTTTTCAAGTATCTGGCAATTTCTTCTTGAGTAGTATCAGTGTGTGTGAAGCTGGAACATTACATGTTTAAAAAAAAACTATTTTAGCTGCAGTATTAAGCAAAATAGTGAAATAATAGTAAATTAATAGAAATGTTTTATTTCACTATAAATAAGAAAGAATCCTTAATATGCTGGTGCTTGATATACAATACAATTTCTTTTACTCACCAATAAACTCCTATTTATAATAAAGTTAAAATTATTATTTTAATTTTTGATGTACATGACTGAATATTCTTAATGATGTTGTAGTAAAGAGTAATAGAGTCATAATTCCTACCTACTAGAAAGTTCCAAGTAAAGACTATAATAGAAATTTACATTTTCTTAAACAATGAGCTCATGTTGTTATCTTTTCCTCCTTCCTCCTTGCCCCATTTAAATTAAGTTCCATTTCAAAGGAAAAAGAAAAATGAAATTAAACAGTATCTATTAGGTTGAACCACATGCCATGTTAAAAAAAAGTCATTTTTGTAGACCAAAAAAAAAAAAAAAAAAGGAAATTTCATATGGTTTATCCTAAGAAATTGGACTCACATGTCCAGATAATAACTGTGCCTAGTGGTTGGACAGGAAAAAATGTAGTGAATCAAGATTCCTCATTCCTACATGACCAAGCTCATACTGGCCAAGGACTATTGTTTTAGACCTACACTATAGTTTGACTCTGCCACTTCAACCTAATATTTGACCAACCCTTTCTAGACTAGCTACCCTCTGAATTCTATTTCGATCTAGTTTATATTGTTAAATTTGGTTTTAGGGTTTCTGCATAGTTTCCTAGTGTTCCTAGGAAGATATCTGAACGTCTAAATCACTTTGCAGGCTGAATGAATTGAAACTAAATTAAGCGAGGGGCTGAGGTATTTACATAACAAGCCCGAATAGGTGCTACCAAGAATTATCTAGTTTAGCTGTCTACATTGGTTGATTTCTCGGGAAATTTCTAAATTTTCCGTTTCATCTCATTTGAGTAGACATAATCTAAACTGGGCTTAGATGAAAGTTATTGCTTGTAGTCTTAAAGAAGAGTGTAGTTGGAAGCAAGACATAGAGAAGGAATCCACATTTGCTTAGTGATTGCTGTGCTGGACACTAGTGGGGACTTTAAGGTGCTTAATCTCATTTAATCCTTACGGCAGCTCTGAAAGGTTGGCATTATTATCGCCCTCTTAGAGATGCAAAACAGGTTCAGAGAAGTTTAGCAACTTTACTGAGATCACATAACTAGCAAGGAGTGGAGCCAGGATTGGAACCTAAATCTGACTGGCTCTCAATTGTCACGTTCTTCCCACTGCAGCACATTTCTGACCTGCCCTTTGGTTGTATGCATTCTTATTGTCCTTCTGTTATTTTAATTTTGTATTCATAAATGTTAAACTGACATTTGAAAAATAGTAAAGCAAGCAAGCTAAACAACAAAGACAGAAAAGAAAAATTGTTTATATTGACATTTCCCAAGCCTTCATTTTGTGAGAAGGAGACCAGTGTGCTTGGGAATGGAACCACCTACCCAGGAGACTGACCGCATTTGCCCATCAAACGTTGGCTGTTACACCACTTGTTTACAGGTGGGTTCTGTAAGAAAATTCGTGAGCTCACTGTTGACCTGGCTTCTCTGAATCACAGTGCTGAGAGGCGGCCCTCTCCATGGGTCCTACCGGCTTCGCCAGTTTCATCTTCACTGGGGCTCCTCTGATGATCACGGTTCTGAGCACATCGTGGATGGAGTCAAGTATGCAGCAGAGGTAGGTGGAACTGCCATGACCACATACAGTGAAAACTGAAAACTGAAAAATAACAGCCACAGCAGCAAAACAGTATCCACTGCTTTACGCTCAAGCCTGGATGGTATAAATGGTTAATGTGCTTGGCTGCTTACCAAAAGATTGGAAGTTCAAGTCCCCCCAGAGGCACCTAGGAAGAAAGGCTGGTGATCTAGTTCCAAAAAATCAGCCATTAAAAGCCCTATAACATAGTTCTACTCTGACACCCATGAAGTTGCTATCAGTCAGAACTGACTCTATGGCAACTGGTCTACTGGTTCAGTTTTAGCATAAGGTGAAACTGCCAAACATTCTAGGCTAGACAGTTACGAGAGTGTAAGTGAGTTAGCATCATGCCTGAAGACTTCCAAGGCTATATTAAGAAATTGGGTAGTGGCTTAATATAAAAGGGCAGAGGAGTCCTGAGTGGAACTGCAAAGGTAAGGATAGCTAATACGTCCTAAATGCTTACATGTGTTAACTAAATTTAATTATCTCAGCAACCCCTTGAGATAAGTTACAGATGAGGAAGTTGAGGCACAGAAAGGTTACATAACAAAGTCACATGGCTGATAAATGCTAGGCCTGGTGTTATACCTCATGCAGACTGGTTTCAGAGTCCTGTGGGGGCAAACACTACTCTCAGTTAACCCATTAAAGAAAAGTATGATTTGTAGCTCAGATCAAGTGATTAACTTGCAAAGAAAGTTCGCACAGGGACTAAGACAAGCCTCATGCATGCTATCTTTACAAAGCCAAGCCTGTGAGGGGACATTGTAAGCAAATGCCCTGGCTGTGAAGATCATTTACCTTTTGCTTTGTGGTTTTCCAAGGGCCAAATCCGTTGCAGTAGAGTCGATTCTGACTCACAGCGACCCATAGCAGAGTAGAACTACCCCAATGGGTTTCCAAGGAGCAGCTGGTAGATTTGAAGTGCTGACCTTTTGGTTAGCAGCTGAGCTCTTAACCACTACACCACCAGGGCTCCATTTCTAAAGGCAGGTTCTTGCAAACACAGGGCACTGCCACAGGAACCTGGAACCACATGTGGACCTTTCTAGCAGTCATAAAATCCATGATTCCGACTCATAGCAACTCTATGGGACACAGTAGAACTGCCCCCATAGGGTTTCCAAGGCTATAATTTTTATGGAAGCAGACTGTCACATCTTTCTCCCATGGTTGAGTTGGTGAGTTCAAACCAGGGACAAATTAACTACTAAGCACAGTATCCATCGGCTTGCATTAGCAAGGCACACACGGGCTTAATTGCATTTACTTCCTGGTCAGTGGTGAGCAATTTCACATGGGTTTCACTACATCTTGAGGTGGTGGGAGACAGGTGAAATTGTGCACTGCAGACTGTGCAGCTTGGTGGGAAGTCACAATTGGGCCCATGGGTACCTTGCTTATTGGGTAATCCGGCCCTGGTTCAAACCGTCGACCTAATTCTGATGGGTTCCTCCATCAGAATTACTAGGCAGCTTAATTGTTGGTTTAAAGTAATCTCTAGGAGACCCAAGTACTTCACTGTGATCATTTCATTTCTTTACAGCCAACCTAAAGAGCCAGTGGCAGGGCAGGATAAATTAATTATTGAAAACACCTTCTAGACATCCTGGTCCACAAATGGGGAAAGTTTAGTATATTTCTTATAGATGTGGGTGACGCTTGCATTTTACCTTTGCACATGGGATTATTTCACACTTTTTATCTTGAATAAAATATTTTTAACTGTTGTGTACTATTCTCTTGCCACTTTGTATAACTCATTGTGGGAAATTTGACGAATTTAACTAGTGCCCATGTTCTAAATTAAGGTAAGGTTGCCACCAGGTTCTAGAGAGCTGACTGCTGAAAAGAAGTAGATAGGAAAGTGCCCAAGAATTTTCCCCTTATTTTTCCTCCCTGACATTCCTATTAATTGTGACTTCAGGATGTTAGCAGCTTCCTATTTATAGCTTTATGCTTCATTATTTGACATAGTCAGAAAAAGAAGTAATATTATGCAAAATTAAAATATTTTGAATAAGTATAACAAAAGTACAGTTTTTATAAATTATTATGTTATAAATCTATTTATCTTAATTCTATATACTTTTGATTTGAACCATTAAAATAAAAAATAAAAACCAAAAAAACCCAAACCCGTTGCTGTCGAGTCAATTCTGACACATAGCGACCCTATAGGACAGAGTAGAACTACCCCATAGGGTTTCCAAGGAGCGGCTGGTAGATTCGAACTGCAGACCTTTTGGTTAGCAGTCCAGCACTTAACCACTGCACCACCAGGGCTCCTTCATCAAAATACTACCTATTAATATTTAGAATTTTATCTACTTCTATGAGAGTGTTCAGCAACCTTAGACTGTACAATTATTGGGTTTATTGTAGACAATTTATTTTCTTGCTCTAAGAATTTTCCTCATAACTTGCATTCTATGGTTTCAGCTGCATTTGGTTCACTGGAATCCAAAGTATAACACTTATGGAGGAGCGCTGAAGCAGCCTGATGGAATAGCTGTGGTTGGTGTTTTTCTGAAGGTAAGGTAAAAATTGACCATACTTTTTTTTAAAAAGTTAGTTCCTTATTAATGCACAGGATAGCGTGAGTTTCATTCCCTCTTTTTGCTTAAGGGGGACAACATCTCTCCCTCCCTCTGTATAATTTCAGTATTCTTTTAGGTAATCAAGATATTTCTATTAAGATCAGCTCACAATATTTTGTTGTTAGTTACCATGGAGTTGATTCCGACTCACGGTGACCCCATGTGTGCAGAGTAGAACTGCTCCATAGGATTTTAAAGGCCGTGGCCTGTCAGAAGCAGATTGCCAGGCCTTTCTTCCAAGGCACCTCCGGGTATGTTCGAACCACCAACCTTTTGGCTAGTAGTTGAGCGCTTAACTGTTTGTGCCACCCACAGACTCCTCAAAATAGTTTAGTATTCTTTAAAAGTGTACTTTTTTTTCTTGGCCGTACTCCAGAATCCCTAGCACTTCTAAATTCTCTCAAAATGTGGGGTGTGTGTATGGGTGTGTGTATGAGTGAGTGTATGTGTGGGTGGTAGATGAGGACAGAGCCATAGAGGGAACTTATGTATGGTGGCAGTGAGGGTAAGGGAGGCATATGTTCGTTATCCTTTCCTAGGACTCCATTTCAACTGCACTGGAAACCAGAAAAGCCAATGCTGGGAACCACTGTGATGCCAAAGTCCTGGCTCAACACCCCTTCGGCTTAGGGTGGCCACCACTCACATGATTCCAGGCTAAGATAGCACATGGAATGCGTGTGTTGTTGAGCCAACGTTGGTTTAAAGAGGACTTAGTGTTATTAACACATGAGTGTAGTAGTAACATAATCTAGATTTTAAGTTAGAGGTGAAAATCTGGCTTCTTTCTTTTTGAATGACCTTATTTTTTTTTTTTAATGTTCTGACTTCATTGGGTCATTTTTAGTGCTTGAACAGAACACAACAGGAAGTGGAGTGGGTCTGAGAGGAAAGACAGTGAGTTTAGTTTTGAATACGTAGAGTCCATTCTAGCTCTAATTCTATAAAAAGTGAAATGATTTTGCAGAGGAGGTCAAGGACATAAAAACTAGATCAACTTGTAATTTTGTGGTTTTGTACTTTAGAGGCTTGAAGTCCAAGTTTAGGTCAGAAAACATATACCCTAAAATCTTGGGATATAAAATCTTGGGATATAAATCTGGCAGATTTATAAACACCAGTTGCAGATGGATGGATCAAAATCAGCTTTCAAGACAATGCTAAATTATGGAGAAGGGAGAAATATAATTCTTGGTTTTCTGTTTTCTTTACTACAGATAGGATGTGAGAAAGGCGAGTTCCAGCTGTTTCTTGATGCACTGGACAAAGTTAAGACAAAGGTAAAACAAAACAAAACAACTTCCCTCCTAGAACATAAAGCAGGGCATTTTGATTTTGTTTTTACATTTTCACATGTATTTCTCTCACCTAAAATTAGTTATTAAGTTTGATGGACATGCTAAGTATACGTATAAAAATGAATTCCGTTATATTTTTATAGTTTACAGTTTTTAGAGTAGTTTCACATATATCAGCTTATTTGATCTTCACAGTCAGCTTGCCGGATAATTACTTTCCCAATGAAGGTCAGAGTCAGAGAAGTTGAGTGCCTCCCCACCCCC